ACACACACACACACACACACACACACACACACACACACACACACACACACAAGCAAACAAACTTTAACAAAGCAAACAAGCTCACAATTTCAAACAGGCAAACGGAGGGGCAAAATGCGGAATGAGGAGGTTGGCAATACGTACCTGCAAGTGGTATGAACAAGCAGGTGGATACACAGTGCGCACAACAACAGACGCAGGGCAAATAACAGGCACACACGACACATTGAAGCACACCATCATGAGATCACCAATCATGATCCCGTAAAACGCAGACGACATGTGCAAGTAAACAACACAAAAAACAAGTTTGAAAAACCTTTCCAAAGTTCACAGCGTCGGAAATGCGATGTTTGCAAAGTTCAGAAAGTTCAAAGTTCTGGAATTGAAAACTAAACTACCCACTTTCAAAGTTTGCAGGAGTGGCTGCTCTGATGCTCTCTCCTACTCCTCCCCGCCGTCTCCTTCCTCTTCCTCCCTGGATTGCCCCTCGCTACCCTCCGAACTATCACCCGTGCCGTCCCCGTCTCCTTCGCCGTGTTCCATGGACTCCGCCCCACTCCCACTTGCATCCTCATCGTCCGACGAGGAAGATGAGGATGCCGACGACGGTGCTGCTGCCGCCTCCTCGCCTGCTGCTGCTGCCTCATTGTCATCTGCTGCTGCCACATCATCGCCACTTTCGTCATCGTCGATGACATTGCTCCGCGCCTTTTTCTTCCTTCCTTTTCTGGCTGCCGCACTTCTCGCTGCTGCTGCTGCTGCAGCTGCCTTTGCAGCGATTGCTTCCGCTTTCTGGGTTTTTCTTTCTGCCAGCTCCGCGTTTGAGGGTCGGCCCCTCTTGCGTTTCGGCTCTCCGTCCGCACGTCTCCCCTTCGCCACCGGAACCGCCTCCTCCACTTCCTCGCGTTGCGCTCTCTTTTTTCCACGTTTTCTGCTGCCGGACGCTTCCCCTGCACCGTGCAACCATGTTCCGGCAGCGCATGCCTTCAACAACTGCGCCCGTTCCTCTTCCGTGTGCAACACTGACGGTAGGGCTGCGAATTGCCTGATTTCCTCCGCAGCTCGCGTTCCCTGTAGCGGCCGGGTTTTGTGCACTCGTGCCAGTCCTTTTCCCTCGAGCCCACGAGGTCTATGTCCTCCGCCTCACACTCTTGGTCATCCCACTCGTCATTTCGCAGCCAAGTTCGCATGAGTGGCTCGTCCCCATCCTCCTCTCCCACCTCCGCGTCATCGAGCGTGTCTGCTGCGTCATCGTCATTGGACACCGCCGTCGCCACCCACGTGTTGTACCACTCCTCAACTTCCGCCTGCACCGGTCGGTCATCCTCCCAAGGGATGTGGACCTCCTCCTTACCGCCGCGGATGCAACTCCGGATCAATTGGGTGTTCGAGTTGTTGAACACCAGTTTTGACAGTCTCTCCGGCATGAGCTTCATGCGCCGTCTTCCAAAAATGAGCTCATGCAAGCTCCAATTCCGCTCACATGCAGCGGACGAGCTTGCTTGGCCAAGCAATTTGACGGCTTGCGGCTGCAGAAGGTCCAACTTTCCCCCAAATGCTTACCACCACAAGGCCGCTGGTTTCACACGCGCCGCCTCCTCTGCCTCTCGTGTGTTGAATGACCCACGCAGTTTGGTCCAGTCATCAACTTGTCGGCTCAGTTCGTCGAGGGTGGGTTTATCTTTCGGCGCCCACGAGTACAACCAAATGTTGAACCCCGCACGAACCTCCCGATCCCGCTCTGCCAATGCACTGTGTCGGAACTTCGGGTCAAGGAAGGCAGCCGCACAGTGCAGCTCACTCGTCATGAACGACCACCGATGCATTAGAATGTCCTCGATGTCGGCCTTCTCACCCGGGGTGACACACTTGAGGCCGTGCATTCTCTCGACGAGCGCATCCATCTTGAAGCAGACCTTCGACATTGTTGCGCCTGGCCCGTCGACCAGGTGCAACAGCTCCACAACAGGAGACATCACTGCGAGGGCCTTCTCCACCTTGTCCCAAAACCCGTCCCTTCCCAGCACAATGGAGGTGACCTCACGGAAAGCGGCGAGCTGATCCGCCCTCACCATCTTGTCCACCCACATCGTGTCGCAGACGCACTTCTCGAGTGCATTCCTCCCTCTCTTCAACGAAGCCAGCATGTCGTGACTCGTGGCAAATCGCGTGACCGCCGGCCGCTTCAACTTCAAATTCGGCGAGAATTTGTCGAACAAAGCCCTCGCCTTGTCCACATTCGTGAAGAATTTGCCGACGACATTGTCGGCGTCGACGACCACCGCCAGCCAACCGAGCTGCTTGTACATGTCCTCGAGTGCTAAATCGAGGGCATGCGTTGTGCAGCCGACACGAAAAATCTGAGGGTAAGCGGCCTCCACCATCTTACCCGCCTTCACACACACTCTTGCGTTGTCCATGACAACGCCAACCACTGTGTTTGACCCGATCTCCTTGATCACTCCATCAAGGATCTTGAAATACGCCGCCGAGTCTTTGTCTTTCCCCTCCATGCACACTGATTTCCAAAAGACAGTCCCGATCGGGGACGACACCATCACATTCAGATGGGGGCGGTTGCGTCTATCAGACCAACCGTCCATCTGAAGCATGCAGCCCGTGACTTGCCACTTCGTGGTCATGGCGGTCACGTCTGCTCTCGTCCTTCCAAACGCGCTGTCCAGCCTCCTCGTCCGTGCGTCATCCCTGTGGTATGGCAGCCATGACGGATGTGCCTTCTTGACTGCGTCGATGAACCCGAGGAAGTACTCGTTGTCAACGAGACTGAAGGGTTGGTTCATGCAGAACAGGAAGTTATCGAGGAAGCGGCTCGTGTGTTCATTACGAGTAATGATGCTGTCCGCATCCTCGATAAGCGTCTGCCTCATTGGTCGACCTGTTTGGGGCGCTGCACGGCCGCACTCCCCAGAAGTCGCCACCCGCAATGGTACACCGCCAGCATCAGCCGCTCCACTACATGCACCCATCGCTCCGGTGACCAGACTGCTGGCAGATGGCAGGTTGCTCGTCGGCGTAGAACTCTTCTCCCCCCTTTCAATGAGCTCTGCGAGGGCCTTCCCCATGCGAATCCCCTCCGCCCTTCTCGCCCTCTCCTCCACGGACAACAGTCTAGTCAGGAGGTCCAGGCTGCACTTCTTCAGGAAGTGGGTTCTCAGATGCGACGCCGTCCCGTCGAATCGGGTCTCGCAGTACTTGCAAATCCAATGCTTGGACCCTTTTCCAGGCTTCCTCCCTGTGGGACCATCGTCTGTGAAGTGCGTCTTCAAGTCCTCTTTCAGCTGCTTCTGATGAGAGGGAGCCATTGCCGCTGTCACCTGCATAGCGGGGAAGGACACAACGTCAAACGCAGGTCAGCCCCTCGTCAAATCATTCCCCTCACCCCCCCTCCCCCATCTCCCCTCCAATCCCCCTCAAATGTGCAACATCACAGTGGGCATACCACGAAAAAAAACAAAAGAAAAAAGCAGACGAGAAAATCAGATTGCTTTGCAAATGCCCGCTAATCCTCCCCTGCTGCACAACGTTCAAGCAGGCATAAAAATGAAAAGAAAAAAAAAATGCACACTGATTTGCAAATGCCCACTAATCCTCCCCTGCTGTGCAACGTTCAATCAGACATAAAAAAAAAAGAAAAAAAAGGTCCAAGGAGGAGGGAGAAAGGAGGAAGAAAGGGAGGAAGGAGAAATGGAAGGAGGAGGACGGAAAGATGGACGAAGGAGGAGAGAGAGAGGGAGGAAGGAGGAGGGAGAGATGGATGAAGAAGAAGGGAGAGACGAGGAGAGAGAAAGCGATGAAGGAGGAGGAGAGATGGATGAAGAAGAAGGGAGAGACGAGGAGAGAGAAAGGGATGGAGTAGGAGAGATGGACGAAGGAGGAGGAGAGAGAGAGGGAGGAAGGAGGAGGGAGAGATGGATGAAGGAGAAGGGAGAGAGGAGGAGAGAGGAAGGGATGAAGGAGGGGGAAAGATGGACGAACGATAAGTGTGAGAAGAGGAGGGAGAGATGGTTGAAGAAGGAGGAAGGTGTCGCGCGGAGCGAATGGCCCTGTGGCTACCGACAAAAAAAAAAAAGAAAAAAGAAAAAGAAAAAAGGTGATTGGATGGTGGAGTGTTCGAAGGGGAGA